GCTCTCCGTCGCGGATTAATTTTTGTTGGTAACTCCAAGCCATTCATTGGGAATTGATGTATTTTCAGGTGCCAGCGGGAAATCGTTGTGTTTGTCGTGTAGGTGTTGCGGATAGTCTAAATTTACTTCAAACATGTAACTGCGCGTGTCTTCTGCTAGTAACTTGGAAATAAACTCGGGAGTAAATTTGTCTAAGTTTTTTAGCCACTGAAACTCACCCACGGGTTACGATTGACTCGTGGCCCAGCCGTATGTTTTATTTGCGTCCAGGTACATGATATGAGACTCCGGTTGATTTGGGTCCTAGTCAGGTAAACTCGTATTGTTCGCCTTTGCATATCGCTTTGCACCCACACTAGAGATGCCACCTCTTTTTACCATTTCAAAGAATAAATGCTTGTTTATGTCTGTCAGTAGTTCCAACTGTATACCTGAATGCTTTAACAACGCATCCCACGACAGGCCCGGTGACGTGTAATAGGTCAAGGCCGTAGTTCAGTTTACAGTTTACAGTTCAGTTTACAGACTTTACGGAAGTTCTCAAAAACAGGCGCCAGCAATAACACGTCCGTTTCCACGTATAGGTCGTGGTAGTCACCTAGATTTTTACAGCCAAATGCTTGCCATACTTTCTCTGCACGAGCGTATTCTTGCTCGGTCACTGTGGGCTGCTTCAGAGAACTATTAAAAGCGTCTACTGGTGGTAAGCTCGTCTCTTGGAACCGATCAAAGGAATTGATATATTCGTAAGGGTAAATTCCCTTTTCCAACAATAAATTTGTATTTTCTGGAAACCTTTCGCGAAGTAATTTAAAATCATTGGGTGAACAATTTTTAACCAACCGATCTAGCGAAGCCGCCATGAAATGAAAGGAGTCTAAGAACCTGAGATGCCAAATGAAAACGAAATGTAGTTCTCGATATTTTTAGCAATTAATTTTATTTCTTCCCAGTTGTACTCGAGAATGCCCTGCATGAATAAATAGGCGTCGTGTTTTCTAAGTTGTGTAAAATCACCGGGATTTGTGTTTGGTAAAGCACTACTCTTAACTTGAGATTACAACTGGCGTGCGCGGGGCCTCGGTGCTTACCCGTCACGTGACAGTGATCACTGACCTTTCTAAATTTGTTGCTTTTCACACGTCATACATAGCAATTCTCTGAACCCAGCTTCGTTTGCAGAACTGTTTTTGGCTTTTTTGTCCTTTGTTTTTGGTTCATTTGGAAATGGACACTGACGCTGAGATTCTTTTGTCTTGCTGATTAGCTTTTCACAGATCCAACAGTGATTACAATTTTCGTAGATTTTTTGTAATTCAGGTGACCAAACCAACGGCTCTTTATTTTTAAACGTTTCATTAATTTTTTGACTTCTCTGGAAAGCGACTGCACAAATTTAACCCCTGCGTCTATACCTCTATTAATCTCGCGTGAAGTGCATTTACCGTCGCATCTGCCTACCGCATATGAGTAGCCGCAAGGCTTATGGATTTGTGTTTTGACCGAGTTTGTATCTGTTGGCGGTAATTTTTCTAAAACAGACTCAAAATCAGCGTAAATCACAAAAGGTGCATTTTGTTTGTTTTTATATTTTTCAAACTTCAGAATATTTTCGCCTTTGGCGGGTAATTCGACTTTACAGGGAGCTGCATCTAACCCTTGGCAATCCTCTTGATGTCGAGCGAGTCTTTCTTTTGTTTGAAAAAGTAACAGGCATTTGAAGCACCAAAATAATTTATTAGTATGTTTCGTATCACCGCACATTAACCTATACAAGTGTTTAATCCAACAATAATGGCTCTTTTCGTCTTTGGTAAAATAGAGTAAATTAATGGCCTCTTCGGCGCGCGTAAGTACCTTCCGTCGCCGAGTAACCAAATACATTGATAGCTAAATTATTTTGTGATGCATTCCTGGTCATTTTTGTTTTGAACGTTGATTATTACCCCTTTAAGCGCTAAATACTTTGGTAGCGGAATATAAGTCGCACCAACCGGGTTGTATTTTACCACGTTAATAAAAAAAGCGTTTACTTTATCAAACACTCAGCCAGAAACACGTTGCTCGTGAGCTTCCACGTCTTCTTTATGTTGTTCAGTTTGTTGATACAATGCTTCTTTATTTTGGCTTGTAAACGTGAAAACGCGCACTTTAGTCTCGGCTCCCGAATTTTCCATTTTAAAGTGAATCTTAATCGCCGTTTATAATTTTAACGACCCAGTTTCCTTAAACTCGGCGAGTGCTTTGACTTCGATGTACTTTTTATAAAAATCAAAAAAGTGAATCAGGTCGTCTTCGTAAAACTTCGGTATCAACTAGCGCCTAATTCTACGGATGTCCACCTCTCCATAACCCGTGGGTCAATATACGATTTAATCGCGTTGATCAAATCCTTCCGTAATATTTTTCCTTTTGTACCCGTAGCCGTAAAATCAATGCCGTTATCTTGAGCTACTTTTAAAAGCTGATTATAAGACTGACGAGTTAAATCTTTAAATTGTCGTTGACTGGCTTGAATCGCTTTTACGAGTTCCGACTTTGTATGAGTTTTACGCTTTGGTGTCGGAAATGAGATATCATATCGTTTAACAAAATCCGCCAAGAAAGGTTTTCTAAACTGCCTAAAACCGATAAAACAGGTTGACGTTTTAGTTTGGTCTCCTTATTCATTCCTGTTTAATATTAAGGTTTCTTTATATTTAATCTAACTTGAAGACCCAGACCAAAAGCGTGACCTAAGTAGTATGGAAACGGTTGATTTTAGAAGAACTTCCACCTCCGATACCTCATCGATCCTTTTCGCGGCAATCGGAAAAACGAAGTCACGGCAAAATTGGAACGTGGATTTTATTTAGGGCGAGATTATTTTATTTAGTTTTCGGATCGCCAGAGGGTACGGATAAATTTTAAAATTTTAAAAAGTGGATTGCGGGGGTTGGAAGGGGTTTCGATTTTGCCGTGGTCTAGCTTTGGTATTTTTTGGATGGGGGGTCGTTAAAGGTATTGGAGGTGGAAGTTCGTCTAGAATCAACCGTTTCCATACTAGTGAAATCTCTCGGGGAGTAATTTGAAATCGCTAGGGGAACAGTTTTAACCAATCGATCGAGTGACGCTGCCATGAAATGAAACGAGTCTAGAAATCTAAGTTAGCCAAATGAAAACGAAACGTAATTTTCGGTATTTTTCGCAATGACGTTTATTTTACCACCGTTAAAAACGTGAACACCGTGTATGATTAAATGTGCGTCGTACTTTTCTAACTTGTGTAAGATCACCGGAATAGGCGTTCGATTTTGCACGACTCGGAGTTTTAGATGCCAATGGGCATGTACTGGACCCCTGTACTTACCCGTGATGTGGCAATGATCTCGGACTTTGTGAAACTTGTTGATGGGCTTCTCACAGATCATACATTTGTACTCTGTGAAACTGCGATCGTTTTTGAAGCTAAAGAGTATTTTGTCGTCTTTAGTTTTTGGCTCGTCTGGGATAAGACACCGACACTGTGATTCTTTTGTTTTCACAAATCCAGCAGCGGTTGCATTTGTCGGGGTGTTTTTGTAACTTGTGTGACCAAATGATAGGCATTGGATCTGCAAATGTTTCATTAAACAGACTCGAAATCCGCGTAGATGACACACGGCGCCTTTGTTTATTTTTGTAGTTTTCAAACTTGAGAATATGTTGACCCTTTACAGGTAATTCGACTTTGCAAGGCGCCGTGTCCATTCCTAAGCAATCTTCTTTATGTCTGTCGAGTCTTTGTTGACTTGAAAGTGAGACATACAATTGAAACACCCGTATGATTCACCGTCGTGATTGTTAATGGCACTAGTCAACCGAGAGAGGTTCTTTATCCAACAATAATGAGCTGTTTCACCTCGAGTGAAATAAAGTTAGTTGATCAACTCGGCAGTGTATTTGGTCTTGTGAAGTATGAACACATCGTCTTTGCTCGTGTAACCGAAACCGAATACATTGATCGCCAAGTTGTTCTGTGATTCGATGCGTCGAATTTGTGAAATAAGTGTAGGGAAGTTCATGTTTGCAAAATTTAAACCATCGTTTGTCGTGTACGTCGAAGTGCGTTCGTTGTTTATTTTGTAATTAGGGTTAGTTGTTTGTTTTGTAATTAGGGTTAGTTGCTAACTGATGTTTGATATTGTAGGAATATAAACCTAGCGCAGCTCTTAACGCCCAGCAAATGCACTCTTGATCCATTTTGTTTTGAACGTTGATGATCGTTCTTTAGGTAATGGTATGTAAGTCGATCCTACTGGGTTATACCGCACCACGTTGATATAAAACGCAATGACTTTATTGGACACCCAGCCAGAGCCTCTTTGCTCGTAAGCTTCAACGTCTTCGACATGTTTTTGGGGTTATTTTCACTCGTAAACGAGTAAATTGCTATTGGCTTGCTTGAATCGCTCGTATGAGTTCGGGCTTTGTGAGACCTTTTTACGAGGGGATAATAAGGTAATGTTATATTGTCTGACGAAGTCAGATAAAAATGATTTATTTAAGTCGACTATACCCCGTTAAGACAGGGCGTCGTTGTGATCTAGTTTCTGCATTCATGTGTCTATTTATAATGAGGGTTTTATAAATTTAATTCCAATTTTTTCTCAAAGCCTCATTCTTCCGATTGAGGGAGAATGAGGCTTTTTTTTCTTCCTGGAGAGCCCGGTGAAAAACTTGGCCCCTTTTGTGCGATGTAGTCGGCTGGCGTCTTTTTTCCTGGGGATTGGCGAAAGTTGATCTGGAGTTGGGATTTTTGCCGACTGAGGGGGGTCAGGTACCTATAGGAGGGTTTTGCTGATCTTGAACTGTCCTAGACACCTACTACTTCCGGTTCCATGCTTCCACATAAACGGCGATCAATACATGTAACCCTATGTGCAGTGCACGTGTGCGGTGGGCGTGGTTTAAACTGAAGTGACCTCACACTTACGAACCAGATACAGATTATGGTGTGGTAATGAGCGAAGAGAACTTACGTTGCATTTTTTCCTCCAGTATTTTGGCAAGATTCGCCCCCATAGCCCTGCAGGCTTCGTCGGCTTGGGACCACGTTAAGCGCTCTGCCCCATCGATGTCGTTGCCAAACAAGCCGAAACACTTGTCAGGTGACCTCGACCAACCGGGTTCACACCCGCCCGTCTGTGCAGATGCCGCCCCTATCACCACTGAGAAAATGGGAAAAAATTTCATACACAGAAATCACTTGACACCCCGTTCACAAACCAAATGAGCTAGGTCTAAAAAAATTAATCGGATTGTGAAGAATTTTTAAGATTTCCCAACGACTAAAGTGTTTGCAATATATATCACTGAAAAGGGAAAGCAATTTTGAAAGCCATTAATTTACCATTCTGATATAAGATTCTGCTTGAATTTGATGCACGTTACAGATATACATCTCTCTCATGAACATCGACCCTATAATATTGTTTTCAAATTTCCAGAGTAGGGCAAGTCATCCAGCCACTTTTCCCCATTCCCCAACATGTTACAAGAAATCTCCACCGTTCCTTATATGGACATCACCATTTTATATACTCCTTCTGGAGCAAAAATTTACAGCACTTCCTTGTGCACGTGGAAGTACATTTCAGTTACTAGACATAGTGCTATAACAACCATTAGAAAGCAATAACATGTCCTAAAGAGCAGTGGCATAAATCTGTGTTGGAAATTGGAGGTTGGGTGGGGGTGATTTCCGAAGCTCATCACGCTTGACCACGACCTCAATTACAGGTGATACCGTGACGCTGGCAGGTTAGAAGCCGTTGGTGCAGGCTACAGGTGTTTATGGTCAGTGGTCAGTGACTCAAATAGATGGGGAGGTGATCCCCCCCTCAAAAAAGTGTAGTGGGATGTAACGACCCCCTCCCCATCCTCCTGGAATGTCCGGCAGATTTTAGGAACTAACAAATACGGACAAGGACTTACAGCAAGATGTTCAACTTATTTGGAATGGATGATGGGTCTTTTTGTCGTTTTAAGACCTTGGCAAACCATGGAGGAAGGACACAGAAGGAGTTGTAACTCACGCACTTCAAAGCGTCCAATGATGGTCGCCGCCGCGTCTGACGAATAATAGAAAACATTCCAAAAATGCCTTATTGCTGCCTGCATCTTAGCCAGACAAGCGGGGCCAGTAATATCCTGGCAATACTTGTAATTTTTTGCTTGCAATTAAATACAAACTATCGATGTGACCAGGAAATAGAGAGAGAAAAATTCCTGATATTAGACCTACTTTTGCCATCATTTATTAATGATGGCAAAAGTAGGTCTAATATCAGGAATTTTTTTGGACTTTGCGGCGACGATCATAGAGTACAAAGAGGGCTTATGGTTGCAAAACAGGTGGTGAGTAGCAGGCGTGCGCTGCACTCTGGCTGTGGACATACTGGGTATGTCAGAAAGCGGTATTTGGCCAGATGTTCTAGCCCAGGCAGTTCAAACTCCTTCTGTGTCCTTCCTCCATGGGCAAACAGTTAAAGTGTAGAGCAAATACCCCCCCCCACGAGAGCGAACAATGACGAGTAAATTCCTGTCATTTTTGGACGCGCTGTAAACCTAGTCAGCGTAAGGTTCTTGGGTGATGTTCGTTAAAACCAGCCCCTCGGTAGAGTAGTGACCCGTTCCTCGCTGTTATTAACCCTTGATGAGGCCCAGGTTCAATTCCGTGTTCTGCCCACAAGTAGATTGGGTTTTATTCCCTACCTGTTTCCGTGGGTGTTACCCGGAATATTATCCCCGGTTTTAATTTCCTCGACAGGTAGTATCACATTATGCTTTGAAACTGTCACAGCCTCAAGTTGTCTGTGCAGCTTTTGACAGGCTTATGAACTACAGGGCCTACCATGGGCGTCAAGGCTAAGTGCTTTATGAACAGAACGCCCTACACGAATAATTTACCCCCAAAAAGCTATACTCTAGAAATAGGTCACGAAAACTGGCCAACGTGTGTTCAAACAGGCAACTCTTACCTGTCAGTAGACCAAATGTCAGGGAGATAGAGCTCCGTGGTTGAGATTTACGTCTCATCTCAGCAACAGAGAGTTAAAAGGTATTAAGGAAAGACTTGTGCAAGTGCTTCGGGGTTCCCCAGATATGTGTTGAATCTATTCTTGTCTGGACACAGTTCGATGCTATCAAAGTTGCATAGTCCAATCAAACATGAACTGTGGATGTATTGACCGAGCTATCATGGTTAATCTTTGATGTTGTTTGCTCTAATGGTATGATATTGTGCAACATAATCAAGGGTCTGCGCTATGCAGATAGAAGTATTGTTGCGTTGGCAAAAGGAACCAACAAAAACTTACTTCCATCTGTTGGCATAAAATGTAGACTAAGTAAGACCTATCAATTAAGAGAAGTCCTACTGGCCAATCAACTTAAGGTTGAAAATACAAACGTAAATCAAGGGATAGGAATCTAAAGGTAGACTGTTAAGGAAAGTCAGATAAACGACTTAAAATAATAATTGAACTTTGTATCAGAAACTGAAAAACAATAGAAAAGAAGAAAAAAAGTAAAAGAAATGGAAAAAGAGATAAAGGGTGAAAAAATCACAAAACTGTATGGAATAAATGGAAACTGACTTTCTGCTACGATTTATATAAGTTCGTTGCTCATGAATGCTTTATCTTTCTCAGAAAAAACTCTTGAGATGCACATGGATCAGAGGGCTCAATGTCCTATTGAAATAAATCAATTGGATCGCTGTTGCCAACAAAACAGTCATACAGTTTTACGTTTCGGAACATACAGTGAAAATTGATTTGGACAAAATTGTCAAAGCACTCAAGGTTAGTTCATGCACCTTATCTTTGCAACGTCAAAAGCGTTTTTTTTTTACCAACTATGAAGACAAAAAAGGCTGGCCGTATTAAGTACAAAATTAAAAGGATACATTCCAAAGTGTTAATAATCCTTATACGAGTACTAACACATCAAATGTAAATACTTGTATTCATTACTCTATGAAAGTGCCTCCTGTATATTACTGATGGTGTAAAATGTGCATTTTGGGACAGAAACAATAGCCTGAATTTTTCAGCTATTTTTGTCCGTTCATTCAAGATGGCAGTAAAGGTTTAGGGATTGACATATCAAAACTGCTGTTGTGCCGCACCGACGCGCGTTCTTGTTGACGTGGGACATCAAGACGTAAGGCAAAGCTCGAAAACAACCAAAATGGCTTCGTTGTAAGACGTTTCGTGGATAGCGTGCACACTTTGTTATTGTTTGACAGTTGAGTCGTCCTCAGTGCGTACTATAAACGATGTCATTTTGGTTGTTCTCTAACAGTGCTTTCCGTAAGGACCGGGGGAAGTCTTCAGAACCTGGAGTGCCTGGACGTGGGCCACGCGTTTCTGCAGTGCAAACTTGCCTCCTATATTGGTCAGGCCAGGGGACGGAGAAACGCTGTGTTTCTGGGAAGTCTGATCCGGAGGCTCCCCGAAGATCTCCCTCCACAAAGGGAATTTTCGCAAACTGCTCCAATCTGGATCCCAATGAATTCGTCCTGGTTAATTCTGGTTGGAGAAGGTCAGTGTGCTATGTCTGGGAAGCACCAGTTTCAGTGCTTGCTTTAAATACGGGATTTGAATTCCTATTTGCGGGGGCCAAATCAGAGAGCAGGCAGTGAACTATGACGGATTAAAAGATGGGGCCTGAAATTGCAGTCTACCATGGCTTTCCCAGACTAAAGCACTTGATCTGGACGGACGACACCAAAATCATGGGGCCATTTTCGAGAATGGAATTAAATTAAGGTTTTTTTAAAAAACGATTTCACAAAGTGTAGGTCAAACCGTTGGTAACCTGGGGACAGACTTTCATTACCAGTACAGAGGGGTTTCACAGTAGCGCTGTCTGCGCATATTTGCATCGAAACCGAGGCTCTCTGTGTTGAACTTAGTCGCGCGCGCCCGCGGAGTCCACACACAGTACATGGAGTATCCGGTTCGAAGGTGTGACGCCACTTCAGTTTAAACCACGCCTACTGGACAAGATACGCGACCATCGCAGGTACGTTAGTTCGCGGTCAATTGTCGTTATTTTTTCTTTTGATTTTACGTGTCGAGTCATCCTGAAAGATTCTTCCACAGCCTGAAAATCTGAATTTAACATACCTTTATGTATTTTGTGTCTTGGCTTCTTACTTTCAATCGTCTGATCGTATTAAGAATTGAAGCTGACACATACAGCCTCGTTTTCAAACGCGGAAGTGTGCAGATCGACGCTAAAAGCGTCTATAGTAAGGACATGCTAGTATAGGCCTAGGCCTCTATCATGGGACAGCCAACATGCTTTTCTACCATTCAAAGTAATGTACCCGAACTGAGTCTGAGGGGAAAGTATTCTGTTCCCTTTCATCAAAATACGAAGTTGATTTTCTATTGCCTAAGATCTACACGGAGCAAGACACATACATGCAGCATTATGATTAAGGTCTGTAACTATCCGAACCAAACTCATTGGTTGCACTGCGTGTAGAGAAGATAGTGCTTTGGGGACAACGACTTGGTATGATCCTTCAAAATTTATTGATTCTATACTGATACATTTTAACCGCTGGATTAGATAATATAGCATAAATATTGGTAGAAATATTAAGCTATCCTATCCATCTGAGTGCAACCAAGAAGTGCTCAAATCAAATGAAGTTCATAGTCCAGTTGATCAAAGAAACAAGTGCGTTAGCCTTATCCTCAACATATCAATGT